GAAAATCAGATCGCCAATAAACCAGCCGATAAATAACGCGGCCAAATACCAAAATAATACTCCAACGGTGATCAAAGTCGAATAACTCGCGGGCATCTTCCTGTTCTCCCACTTCCTTGCAGCCGCCCGTTAGGCACAGTAATGGCGGCTCCATGGATGACCCTAAGTAGCATTTATGGTTGACCAATGGTACCCAACAGTTGGGAGTTAGTTGGGATATAGTCAGTGTTTTTGCCTACAAATTCCTAAAACAGGGCCCACGACGAAAAAGTTAAGACAATTTGCCTAAGAATATCCAATGTTGAGCTTACAATTATTATAGTTGGTTAATTAACAAGAAATTTACAATGATAATACAACAGTTGGGAGTTAGTTGGGATATAGTCAGTGTTTTTACCTACAAATTTCCAAAATAGGGCCCACGACGAAAAAGTTAAGACAATTTGCCTAAGAATATCCAATGTTGAGCTTACAATTATTATAGTTGGTTAATTAACAAGAAATTTACAATGATAATACAACAGTTGGGAGTTAGTTGGGATATAGTCAGTGTTTTTGCCTACAAATTCCTAAAATAGGGCCCACGACGAAAAAGTTAAGACAATTTGCCTAAGAATATCCAATGTTGGGCCTACAATTATTATAGTTGGTTAATTAACAAGAAATTTACAATGATAATACAACAGTTGGGAGTTAGTTGGGATATAGTCAGTGTTTTTGCCTACAAATTCCTAAAATAGGGCCCACGACGAAAAAGTTAAGACAATTTGCCTAAGAATATCCAATGTTGGGCCTACAATTATTATAGTTGGTTAATTAACAAGAAATTTACAATGATAATACAACAGTTGGGAGTTAGTTGGGATATAGTCAGTGTTTTTGCCTACAAATTCCTAAAATAGGGCCCACGACGAAAAAGTTAAGACAATTTGCCTAAGAATATCCAATGTTGGGCCTACAATTATTATAGTTGGTTAATTAACAAGAAATTTACAATGATAATACAACAGTTGGGAGTTAGTTGGGATATAGTCAGTGTTTTTGCCTACAAATTCCTAAAATAGGGCCCACGACGAAAAAGTTAAGACAATTTGCCTAAGAATATCCAATGTTGGGCCTACAATTATTATAGTTGGTTAATTAACAAGAAATTTACAATGATAATACAACAGTTGGGAGTTAGTTGGGATATAGTCAGTGTTTTTACCTACAAATTTCCAAAATAGGGCCCACGACGAAAAAGTTAAGACAATTTGCCTAAGAATATCCAATTTTGGGCCTACAATTATTATAGTTTGTTAATTAACAAGAAATTTACAATGATAATACAACAGTTGGGAGTTAGTTGGGATATAGTCAGTGTTTTTACCTACAAATTTCCAAAATAGGGCCCACGACGAAAAAGTTAAGACAATTTGCCTAAGAATATCCAATGTTGAGCTTACAATTATTATAGTTGGTTAATTAACAAGAAATTTACAATGATAATACAACAGTTGGGAGTTAGTTGGGATATAGTCAGTGTTTTTGCCTACAAATTCCTAAAACAGGGCCCACGACGAAAAAGTTAAGACAATTTGCCTAAGAATATCCAATGTTGAGCTTACAATTATTATAGTTGGTTAATTAACAAGAAATTTACAATGATAATACAACATTTGGGATTTAGTTGGGATTTAATTAGTGTTTTTGACTACAAATTTGTAAAGTAGGGCCCACGACGAAAAAGGTATGACAATTTGCCAACGAATATCCAATGTTGGGCCTACAATTATTATAGTTGGTTAATTAACAAGAAATTCACAATGATAATACAACATTGGCCCACCCAAAGTTTGCCAACATTTAAATATCGTCTTAAAGACGTCAGAAACGTTCCTACAACCAAAAACATGTTATTAACAAATAATTTCAGAGATATTCGAGGGGATCGTTTTAAACAGAACACTCTGTATACTTGTAAATTTTGCTTTGTTTGTAATCGTCTGGATAAATAAACCTGCGAGGGTTTGAATTTCAAACTTTGAAATGCTTAATGAAAAGAAAAAAAATTAATGGTTCCTTTATATTCATCGACAAAGGTGCAAATTGGCTCTTAAAAGGGGTGGTTAAATATTCGCGTCTGTTCTCGCGAACGTTTTAATCTGAAATAGCTCGGTGTGCAGTCGGTGTGTTCGAGGGGGGATCGAAATTAATGCAGGCGACGCGCGGCACGATTCGAAATCGCGCGTGGAAGAACCGCGGCTGGTTGATGGATCACCGAGCCGGATTGCCGAGACGTGTTTGTTGTGACGGACGAAAGCTCTTTTGAAGGTGTCTATAAATTCCGCGGTTTCGGAGCTTTCACGAGCTCCACGGGCCTTTCCTCCCCTCCGTCGTGATTTACCATTTAAATACCACGCAGAGAAATTCTGTCGCGAGGCTTGCTAAATAAAGAAACATTAAACTCCTAATAGGGCTCAATATGGCCGCCATCTTGGAACGTCTACTCTAAACGGGTTAACCTCTTGTCTTCCGATATTTTCGACGATTATTGTCTCCAGAATTACTTTATCGTCAATAATTCTACAGGAATAAAAGAAATTCTGTATTTATTGCAAGTGTGCATTAACTCGAAAAGTTAAATATTAATACTATGTAGTAAATATTAATAGTACATAGAAAATTGTAAGTAATATTAATACTAGTAAATTATAAGTAATATTAATACTAGTAAATTAGTATTTCTCTTCGATTTAAGGAAAAGGAATAACACTCAGGTTTATTAAACCTATTTTGAAATCGTCAACACGAGTCTGACACGATGTAATAAGGCAAGGGGTTGAGGTAGCTCTCGCGTTTGGTGTCGTATCTAGCTGGGGCTCCATATGGCGTTTTATACTTTTGATCAATTTTATCAATTAAATTTGAATGATTAATATATTAAACTACTTTAAAATACCTAAATGGAAAAAATGTACAAATAAGTGGAATAAAATAAAAATTCTTTTCCTTGTAAAAAAATTGTAACTTTTTTTATTTTTAAGAATCAGTTGGAAATTTCGGCGAACAAACGCATTGAAACCTGAATTTGCAAATCTTCATTTTTAGTTGTATTTGATCGTTAAGATAACTTTTCCCGTGCCATCATAATCCCCGTAACAAAACCTATAACCACCTAATTTTGCATGAAAATGTCATTTTTTTGTAACCAAATAAGTTCCAAAAAAGAGTTTCCATCTAAGTTCCATAAAGCTAGTGGTTGAAAAGAAATTTTGATAACGTTTCTTTTTCAGTAATTTTATCGTCGATCTTGCGATTTTTTAGTAGCAATCAAACATTGGAGCTCTTAAGACTGTTCTGTTAAATTTTCAACTGAATTTATAATTATTAAAAATTTGCGTGAACAACCTTAACTTCAGCTTCCCGTGTGAAGTTTTTAGTAATGGTCAGAGAAACGCAACGTGCACGGGACAAAGACAGAAAATTTTCGCGCCATTCCGTGGCTGGTTTCGCATAACGGAGCCTGTTTCTCGCGATCCCCAGTCTTGTTCTCAGTGGCTCCTCACGATATAAATATTCAACATGGGTCGTCCCTCAAGACTTCCATCTTTCTTCTTCATTCCTCCCTTTTCTCTCCCGCCCTCTGTACACCGACTCAGCCCCTCTCTCTTATGAACGATTCCGTCGGCGACTCTTATAATAAAAAAAGTAATAATAATAAAAGTAATAATAAGAATAAGAATAGTAATAATAATAATAGTAATAATAAGAATAATAATAACCAGGGATTGAAAAAGTTATGGAACTTTTTAAAAAAATATTCTTATATTGTAAGTTTCTATGATAGCAGACGAAAAAAGTTTCTTGAAAATAAAAGCTTTAATTTGACTAGAACGCATAAACTATAGAAATAGAAAGTTTTCTCTAAGAGGAACAGATATTTTGTTCATTGATATTAGAAAAGTTCTCAATCATTGTAACAAATAGTGAATACTGTTCAATGAATGGTACTGCAACAATATTAAATAATTATATTACGATGATACTGTTATAGTTATAATACTATCACGCTGAATAGCAAAAATTAAATTGCAATAGGTATTCATATATTCTATTATAGAAATTTAATTATATATTATATTGTAAAATTTCTATGTATTTCAATTAAATTAAGTTATAAAAAAAAATGTACTTAGGTATTATTCTTGGCAAGTTCCCTTTTCTGGTCCATACTTCTCATGAAACTATTAATTACATATGGATTTGGCGGTTCCAGGGTTAAATTCGAAGAACAGACAAAATTATTCCATAATAATTCCCAAAAACGCTCATTCCATGTTTCTATTCAAAACAATTACCAAAAGCCCACTAAACCCAGTCAAAAATCGGAATTAAATACTCCAATTTCTACTCCATAACCCATCAAACTCCATTCTCCCTCTCCCCGTCAGAGATACAGCACTGTATCCGACGTTTCACCGCGATCATCTTCTCCCTCCACTACCCCGGATTCCCCCACCCTCGTTTCTCCCTTTCCTTCTTCCTCCAGGCAGCCGTGGGTGGGGACAGCTGACAGAAGCGACGGATGAAAGAAACGGTCGAAGCGCACCGCTATGACGCTGGAGTAAAGGGGTTGGGGAGGGGGGAGTGCTCGAGGTAGGGATAGCTGAACCAAAGGTGAAGGGTGGGGGTATGTCTTTCCCCACGCTCGTAGGCGGGGTTCCCTCCTGACACGAAGTCTCCATGAGCCAGTCGCTTCATTCGAGTCGAAACCATCGAGCAGACTCCTCCTGGAAGCACCCTGCTCCGTGTACATGTATCCACGTTATCCAAAGTGTCACTAAAACTCCTATCAGTGTGTACTCCATTAAACAACTTCAGTCTCTACATCGAAGTGTCCGAAAAAAGTGTAACCCAGTGGTGATGAAAGTGTTCAGATCCTGAATCCACAGATCGTCCCAAGTACAAAGTGACAGTTACCATCTCAGGCTCTCCCTGGATGTCCTAAGCGTCCCGCCATGCAGACCACGCAGCCAGTGAGCCTCCAATCGCAGCGTCTCCAGGGCATCTACATCCTGGACAACAGCGACAGCTCTGGGATCCCCCACAGTGCCGGCAGTTCGGCAAGCAATTCTCCCGATCACTATGAACGTTTCTCACCACCGACCCATTTGATGGACCTCAGCAGCCCACCTGAGCACAGAGACCTGCCAGGTTACCAGCCCCATCACCACCATCAGATGGTCTACCAGCCACCTGGCTACCTGATGTACGATAACCAGGATGATGACAAGAGGTACCAGGAGCACACTAATGGAAAGATTCTGAGGGACCTCCAGGCGGAAGTGTCCGAATACGATCGACGTATGCACGACAATTCACCTGGTTTCCTGTCTGATCACAGTAGAGATCACGAGCAGAGCCTCTACCTGACGCCATCGCCTCAGATGTACTCGTCCGGCGGCGAGGAGATCGTCCCGCCCAGACATCAAACTCACGGGTACCATCACGTGGAGCCAGTAGAGTACAAACCGGATGTGGTCGAGTACAAACCAGAGATCGAGCAGCACAGGTACAAACAGGTGGACATGGTACAGATGACAGAACCGTCGTCCTCCACCAAGAGCTACCCAATCGAGGTAGACGAAAAAAGTTTCTTGAAAATAAAAGCTTTAATTTGACTAGAACGCATAAACTATAGAAATAGAAAGTTTTCTCTAAGAGGAACAGATATTTTGTTCATTGATATTAGAAAAGTTCTCAATCATTGTAACAAATAGTGAATACTGTTCAATGAATGGTACTGCAACAATATTAAATAATTATATTACGATGATACTGTTATAGTTATAATACTATCACGCTGAATAGCAAAAATTAAATTGCAATAGGTATTCATATATTCTATTATAGAAATTTAATTATATATTATATTATAGAATTTCTATGTATTTCAATTAAATTAAGTTATAAAAAAAAATGTACTTAGGTATTATTCTTGGCAAGTTCCCTTTTCTGGTCCATACTTCTCATGAAACTATTAATTACATATGGATTTGGCGGTTCCAGGGTTAAATTCGAAGAACAGACAAAATTATTCCATAATAATTCCCAAAAACGCTCATTCCATGTTTCTATTCAAAACAATTACCAAAAGCCCACTAAACCCAGTCAAAAATCGGAATTAAATACTCCAATTTCTACTCCATAACCCATCAAACTCCATTCTCCCTCTCCCCGTCAGAGATACAGCACTGTATCCGACGTTTCACCGCGATCATCTTCTCCCTCCACTACCCCGGATTCCCCCACCCTCGTTTCTCCCTTTCCTTCTTCCTCCAGGCAGCCGTGGGTGGGGACAGCTGACAGAAGCGACGGATGAAAGAAACGGTCGAAGCGCACCGCTATGACGCTGGAGTAAAGGGGTTGGGGAGGGGGGAGTGCTCGAGGTAGGGATAGCTGAACCAAAGGTGAAGGGTGGGGGTATGTCTTTCCCCACGCTCGTAGGCGGGGTTCCCTCCTGACACGAAGTCTCCATGAGCCAGTCGCTTCATTCGAGTCGAAACCATCGAGCAGACTCCTCCTGGAAGCACCCTGCTCCGTGTACATGTATCCACGTTATCCAAAGTGTCACTAAAACTCCTATCAGTGTGTACTCCATTAAACAACTTCAGTCTCTACATCGAAGTGTCCGAAAAAAGTGTAACCCAGTGGTGATGAAAGTGTTCAGATCCTGAATCCACAGATCGTCCCAAGTACAAAGTGACAGTTACCATCTCAGGCTCTCCCTGGATGTCCTAAGCGTCCCGCCATGCAGACCACGCAGCCAGTGAGCCTCCAATCGCAGCGTCTCCAGGGCATCTACATCCTGGACAACAGCGACAGCTCTGGGATCCCCCACAGTGCCGGCAGTTCGGCAAGCAATTCTCCCGATCACTATGAACGTTTCTCACCACCGACCCATTTGATGGACCTCAGCAGCCCACCTGAGCACAGAGACCTGCCAGGTTACCAGCCCCATCACCACCATCAGATGGTCTACCAGCCACCTGGCTACCTGATGTACGATAACCAGGATGATGACAAGAGGTACCAGGAGCACACTAATGGAAAGATTCTGAGGGACCTCCAGGCGGAAGTGTCCGAATACGATCGACGTATGCACGACAATTCACCTGGTTTCCTGTCTGATCACAGTAGAGATCACGAGCAGAGCCTCTACCTGACGCCATCGCCTCAGATGTACTCGTCCGGCGGCGAGGAGATCGTCCCGCCCAGACATCAAACTCACGGGTACCATCACGTGGAGCCAGTAGAGTACAAACCGGATGTGGTCGAGTACAAACCAGAGATCGAGCAGCACAGGTACAAACAGGTGGACATGGTACAGATGACAGAACCGTCGTCCTCCACCAAGAGCTACCCAATCGAGGGGTCCAGGGCTAATGGCAAGAGGAAACGGAAGTCTAGCTGCGGCGAGAACGAGTCCGAGGGCGAGAGCACAGCTTCCTCCACGAAGTCGAAAGTGAGGAGGAAAAGCGGGGCCACCTTCGAGGAGATTCAGAATCAGAGGGTGATGGCCAACGTCAGGGAGAGACAGAGGACGCAGAGCCTGAATGAGGCGTTTGCTGCGCTGAGGAAAATCATACCGACGTTGCCTAGTGATAAACTGAGCAAGATACAGACCTTGAAACTGGCCACCAGGTATATCGACTTCCTGTTCCAAGTCCTGCACTGCAATATGGAGAACACCGACGGCGCTGAGGAGTCTGGTGAGTTTTTCTTTTTTTTTTTTTATTTGTTGTTGCATCAACCCCTTATAGGTCATTAGCGATTTAACTCTTTAGGGTTAGGTGGGTTAATAACTGTCCCACCTTTTGCTTACCTTTTTATGCATGGTGGGATATATTTTAACCCACCTCGGAAAGTTGAAGTTACTCGTAGTCATACAGTTTAATATTTTATTTTTATATAATTTTTTTTATATTAAAAAAAATTCTGTGCAACTAGGGTTTTTATTTTCTTTAAAATCCTGTGCCTGAAAGAGTTAACAGTACATCATTGGTGGCAGAGATGAGCAAACTCATTATCGAGATAAAAAGTTTCGAATAACGAATAAAAGATGATAAAAAGGATTTCGTCATTTTTTATTACTTAACTAGAACTACCAAAGCAGTCAAAATGACTGGTTAGTATGTTCTTATATTGGCGATTAAAATGTTACACTGTTCTTAGATTTTTCGTATGTTTCATTGCAATATTAGAATGAAGGAATTAGTTAATTTATGAATTTAAATATTTTCAGAAGTGTGTCATGGTTATCGATCCGATATAAATAGATATAGGGGAAAGGTGTCGAAAAGGATTCCTTTAAGGCGTTGCTCGTTATTTAAATAAAAGTAAAGTAGTTTTTGTAAGTTAGTCTATCTTATTACTGGCTTTGATAAAATTTAGCTACGTGATCAATTATATTTTTTATTCATATTTCTTTGAAGGCATGCTTGAGGATCATTTTGTAATGTATGTGCATAAAATGATCTCCGGGGATCATATATGTATAGTCAAGGAATGTTCCAAATATTGTCATTGAAGTGATAAAGTAGGCTTTTGTATTTTTTTTGAAAGGGTTAGTGCATTAGCTTTTTATATTTTTTTCAAAGGAAAATTTATTTCCACTAGAACTACCAAGCAAGTCAAAATGACTTGCCAATACACCCTTATAACGATGATTAAAGTATTATAACAAAACATTTTCTCAGATCTTTTGTAACTTTTATTACGATACGACATTAAAGAAATTAGTTAATTTATGAATTTGTAAAATTTCAAAAGTTTGCCATATTTATCGATCGATCGAAAAAGATATGCGTTTATCGTTGGTAGTTGTAGTGTTATGGTGCAGGGTTTCGAGACACGCTCCATCAGTTACCAGCTTTGTCGCGCATAAACTATCTGATTTTGATTAAAACCTTCGTTTAACGGTTTGTCCTCCGTCGGCACCGTGCAGCACGTGTTCAGACCACCCAGTCCACTGCAACTGTTTACAGTAGCTGAGGAATTAAACAGACCCCCGTGATGAAGGGTTCTTCTGAATTCAGAAGTCACAAACCATCCCCCCAGAAGCCCTCTGCTTCTACCCTTTTGGGCAGACACACTTGAACGGTGTTTACAAACTGGTCAGAGGCAAACAGAGAATTCCATAGATCATCCCGAAAGCCCTTAAGTGTCTTTACCAGAGATACAGAAGTAGCCCCAAGAGTGCAGAAGTAGCCCAAGAGTACCGGTAGCTACTTTAGAGCCCCTGATACTGATTAATCGCCGTTGAATGGACCTTCAAAAAGGAATATTCTCCCAACATGTAGATTTCGTTCCACTTTCCACGAATCTAAATCGTCCCTGTCTATTATTTCGTTCACTTAACGGAGTACAAGACGACCTAGCGCTGGCCAAACGGGGTCGACACAGAAAATTCTCGATGAGTGTTTGCTGATTTTTAATTCGGTTTACCAAAGTGATAGCTTTGAATTCTGGGGCCGTAGATATTTATTTTAGCCTCGTATGACCATTAGATTGTGAAATATTTAAGGTTCAGTGTCGAGGAGCCTTCGTGCACAAATCGAGGATTTACTGTATTTTCTCCAAATCAGTCTACAGGTCGTAATTTTTTAGGAAACACGTTGCTCTTTTTTTTTAAATTCTTCGTAACGAAATTTTTTATGGAACTGTTCAACATAAATTTTCAATTTCATTACTTATTTGTTTATATTCAGCGAAATGTACAGATTTTTCAGATGATTAGTATCTGAGAGATTTAAAGTAAATTTTTTTAAATATTTCGTGTTCAGGGCTGAGAAACTTTTGAGCACTCATCGTGGATTTACTGTACACCATAACTCCAGGTGGACTAAAGATCTCGGAGACGCTAACAGTCGCGAAGATTGGTCCGTTTTCAGCGACTCGGACGCAAATACCAGCGACCAGTCTTCGTTTTACACTTTGCCCACGGCGCTGATATGCCCTGACAGTTTCTTCTCTTGTTCCGCTTGTCCCTCTCGGATTCTTTTCACCGTGCGCATTCTTCGGTTCTGGTTTTCAGTCTGCGGACCCCGGAGGATATTCTTGACTCTTTGATCAGACGGGTCTCGCCAGGATTGTTCCGAAATAATTAATTGCATATTAACCCTTTCAAACACAAATTTTCTTTTAAGAGCAAGAAAAAATTTATTTCACATTTTCACTCAATAGACTGTTTAGAATATATTTTGTTTAAAAATAATTTTGGTTTTTAAATTTGTTACTCAATTCTGAATTCACTGGACCTATTAAATACATTCAGAACATGAATTTATTTCACATTTTCACTCAATAGACTGTTTAGAATATATTTTGTTTAAAAATAATTTTGGTTCTTAAATTTGTTACTCAATTCTGAATTCACTGGACCTATTAAATACATTCAGAACATGAATTTATTTCACATTTTCACTCAATAGACTATTTAGAATATATTATGTTTAAAAAAATTTTTGTTTTAAACTTGTTATTCAGTTCTGAATTCACTGGACTTAGTGAAAACATTCAGAACATGAACAAATTCTGCAATCCACTGTACCTAAGGCTATCTATGATATTTTAAGAAATTTTTGTACACAAATGTGACCACCAGGTCTGAAGGGATTAAGCCGTTCGTATTACAGTGATTCCTCGATGAGTGCGACACGCGCAACGTCGTTATTGGGGGAGTCCCTCTGTGGAAGCAATTAAAACAGAATATACATAAGCTAATCAGAAATTCGGCTTCGAGCAAAAAAACCAAATTAAATGCTTCGAAATGGTCCCGAGTATGTCGCACTCACCGAGACATTACTGTATTCAGTAAAAATCTTTTCTCGAACCTTCAAATCAGCTTTCATTGCAAATTAGTAGCATGTTAAAGATTGTATTATTTTTACAAAATATTGTTTATAAGATTGTTAACCAGGGTGGATATTTTTTTTTTCCAGGTGACAGAGCACCAAGGGGCGCAGTGCTGGCAGCAAGAGAAATAACGTCGTCGTCGTGCAGCTACATGGCCCACGAGAAACTGTCCTACGCGTTCAGCGTGTGGAGGATGGAAGACGACTGGAACTCGAATCTCTGAAGACCCTAGTGTCCAATACACACCAGTATTTCATCCACTAGGTAAAAACTCGCGAGATTTTACGGATGAACAAGTGTAGAACGCGGCCAGAGGCCGATTTCTTATTTTCGCTGGCTCGAAAGTATCGAAATCGAGCAACGCGACAGACACTGTGAAACGGTCCGAAGATGCTTGGGAATCTTTCGACTCGTTTTCAAGCCTTTCCTTATGATTTTTTTCAGTGCCATTTCTGTTATTTATTAAAAATCCGCCGGAATGACCATAACAGATCAGTTCTTAGCGTCTGTGGGTTTAATTTAAGATTCCAAAGACACCCAAAAGGTTCGTAGTTTGACCAAATTAAGGTTATAATTTGGCCACATTTATACTATTTACTGTTTTCTTTCCGGTACACTAACAAATTTGTCAGTCAGATACGGAATTAACTACAGGAACAAAGTTAAAAGAAGTTCATTCAAGGGGGAACCTAAAAAAGGGACGAACTTTCGACTGTAATTAGTAGACTGTTTATGAAAATACAGAAGTTTATGGATTATTGTCTCGAAACTGGACGCAAGGAAAAATTGTTTTACCTTGCCGAGGGTTTTAATAGTTCCGAAATAAGAACAAAACTCTAGTGAACTTTCTGAAACTTTTTACTGTACTAAATTTCATGTACTCCATAAATGCAAAAAATCCGCAGTAGTAATCAGAGTATGTATACCGCTGTCGTGTATTTATTGTCGTTCGTTAGTATTAGGTCACGTGGCCTGTTACGAAAAAAATGTGATTTTTCGTAAATATTACACAATAACTCTTCGAGCTTCAAAATTTCGTAGACAATATTTGTGTCAGATTTTAAACAATTTCGTAATGACTTACAGTAACTCCTCGATGAGTGTTCCAAGACTCCTCGGGACAAAGCATTCAATACTTTATAAACAAATGGCAATTTGCAGCTGAAACAAATACCATTCGCTAGAACTACTGATGATAACCTGACAAACTTTTGATAATACACAAATTTATAAATTAACCAATATCTCCACCTTCATATTGTAATACAACTTATAAAAAATTTGAGAAAATGCATTGTTGTAACATATTAATTATTGTTATAAGAGTGTACTGACCAGTCATTTTGACTGCTTTGGTAGTTCTAGTGTTAAAAAGTCAACGTTACGCCTAGGGACCTCTCCGTATAGTGCCGAGAAGTCTTCGGACAATGATCGAGCATTTACTGTACATATTTCGTTTACTTCATTTACGACAAATATCCTGATATTTATGAACGGGCGCGTATGTGGATCCACTGGTGACTAATTAACAGCGATCATTTCTCGTCCCTGTTAAGACGTTCGCCCCAGGATCCTTTGAAATCGAATCGGGGCGTCGTTGATTCCGCAACACGATAGATCAACCGAGCCGTTCGTCTTCGCCATAATGTAAGCGAATAACTTAAGCACGTCCTCTCGTCAGTCTATTAACAGTACGACAAGCTTGGCCCCACGGCCAAATCTCCACTGGGGTGATTTCTCTGTATGTACTGCATGAAACACCGTGTGTAGATCCTATTAGCTGGATCCATCCTCTTTCGGTCGGGTATCAATTCTGGAGGATCATGTCTTCAAGGGACCTCAATCTGACTAACTTCAGGTGATCGTTGTCTCAGTCAAAATTTTAGAGAAAATTAAAAGATACTATAGGAAGTTGATAAAATTAAATCTTTAGATCTGTATACTAACTATAGAAGTGAGAAACATTTTGGATCATACTAGTTTTGTAAGTGAAGACTTTGCCTTACATGATTCATATATGTCTGGGTTAGATGATCGTTGTCAGAGGCAATTTTATAAAAAAATTAAAAGATATTATAGGAAGCTGATAAAATAAAAATTTTTGATCTGTACACCGATTACAAAAGTGTGGGACATTTTGAATAATACTATTTTTTTTTGTAAGTGAAGACTTTGCCTTACATGATTCATATATGTCTGGGTTAGATGATCGTTGCCAGAGTCAATTTATAAAAAATTAAAAGATACTATAGAAGGTCGAGAAAATTAATTTTTTGGATTTGTACAATGACTACAGAAGTGAGGAATATTTTGTAAGTGAAGACTTTGCCTTACATGATTCATCTGTACCTCGGTTAGGTGTTCATTGTCAGAGTCAATTATATAGAAAATTAAAAGATATTATAGGAAGCTGATAAAATTAAACTTTTGGATCTGTACACCGATTACAAAAGTGTGGGACATTTTGGATAATACTATTTTTTTCTGTAAGTGAAGACTTTGCCTTACATGGTGCATATATGTCTGGGTTAGATGATCGTTGTCAGTCAATTTTGTAAAAAATTAAAAGGTACTATATGTAGTCGAGAAAATTAATTTTCGGGATATTCTGTATGTACCTCAAAGAAATGTCTCACATTTTTATTGGACACCCCGTAGAACGCGATGCAACATTACAAAGTGCATAAAGCGAACACGATTCACCAGAAACGTGTACGGTCCCTGGTCCGTCTCGAAGAAGGGCAGACAGTAGCCGTCATTGCTACAATTTTACGAGTTTCTTTTTTACGATCACAGACGAGTCAGCGTATCTCGAGGGCGCTGTAGAAACCAGCCCTAACCGAATAACGGTGAAACTTAAACAAAACAACAGGAGGGAAGCGTTAACGAGCATTTCGGCGCCGATACGTCGGCCTGATGACTTTCTTCCTTTTCGAGAAGATTCCCTCGAATTTCGAGTCTTGTTTTTTTTTTTTGGAAAATATTCCAGCCAGAAGATGGTTTACCAAATATATCGACGGTTGTTTTAAAACTAGAGGGAAAAGTCTAAGGCCAAAGAATATTAAAAAACATTTGAATGAGAAAATTTGAAAAATATTGTGGTTGATGAATTAAAAAAGGTCATACGAGCAAAAAAATAGTATAATAGTTTGAAAATTTCGTGGTTCGATGAGGTTTGACGATGTTTGAAGACGTTTAACGTTGCCGGAAAATTTGAAAAATATCGTGTTTCATGAATTGAACGTTCATACGAGCAAAAAAGTAGTAACAGTTTGAAAGTTTCGTGGTTCGATGAGGTTTGACGATGTTTGAAGACGTTTGACGTTGCGAGAAAATTTGAAAAATATCGTGTTTGATGACTTGGACGTTCATACGAGCCAAAATATAGTAATAGAAAGATTCGATATTGTTTGAAAACGTTTGACGTTGCTTGAAGATGTTTAACGTCGTTTGAGGGTGTTTGAAGACTGTTCGAGAAAGTAGTTTCGTGAGAACGTTAACTTCGGAATTTTTGGAACGTGAAGATGATTAATGATCCTGACGGTTAGCTCGAATTCCGTTCGAAAAAAATTATTCTTTGATCATTGGTCGTGTTACAACTTGTCCCTGTGCTTTCTGGTTTGCTTCTGGAAATGGAATCTTCCCATTAGACAAACGATAAATCTCCACGGTCTAATTGTATGGTGGCCCATTCATTTATCACTTCTCATCATTTTCTCGAGTCTACCAAATAATTCTTTTTTAATTTAGAAACACTTGTGTCAAAGTAATATCCAAAAAAAAGTCAAAGTCAAAGTAAAGAAAATTGATGCAAATGGTTGGTCAATGGGCCTTTTGCAATAAATGTTTAACTACAAGTGCCTTCGTTCTAGTGATCTTTGTGTAGTAGAAAATTAAGTTACGAAAAGGTTGTAAATATAATTTAGTATTTAGCTAAAAGTACATATTTCTTACGAGGGAACCAAAGAAGATGAGGAATTATAATTAATTTTCTAAAGTTATCAACCAATGCCCTTTATCATTTTCTATTTTTGTTATTTTTTCGACTTAAAAATTCTTCACTTCTTTCTCCCTCGTGTGTGTTAAATGTGCCTTGTATTATAAACTCTATTTAATTGTAAGTGTCATGTGCCCTTCGTGTGGCCTTGAACATACAGCAAAACACCAAAGATTGTGTATATAGTAGGCTTAAGTACTTAATAAGTTAAGTCACACTGTATATTCGAAGGACAAGAGACTGTCAAATAAGAGTAATGTATATTTTCACGTATATTTAGGTTAGGTTTAGGGTTTAAGGTACAACAGTGGCCGGAATTGCGCAATAATTTATTAACTCGACAAAATATCTTCTGTAAATAATTCTTTTAAATAACAGTTGATCCTTTCGTCCTGGAGACATTTCACTTTCTGATAATACAGAAAAATCTCTCTAGAGACAGGAGGCGAAAGAATCAAAATGGCGGGAGAAATTCAAACGAGATCAGTGAAAGTTAAGTTTCCATGGAAGAACTTCGATTCTTCTTGAAGCCTTCAAATTGCTAATCGTTATATTGTGATATATCTTGTTAAGTAGCCAACTTACGCTGATTCTTGAGTTTATTTAAATCGATTATTAGGTTAAGTGTACAGTCGAAAACTTGGATTTCCATTCCTTAAACGATGCCAAAGGTGCATTTCTAATGTACAGTATTTTTATATCGACCGAGCGCGAGCAATACAATAAACAATCATTAAACCTGAATCTTTTCTTACCACATGATTTACCCATCAAAATGAAAATCCCACACGTGTCCCATAGAAGGTGATACGACACTTTTTCACAAAAATTTGTCTTTGACCTAACCCAACTTTTTTGCAACAACGATACTTCTTACAAAAACTTACGATCTATTTTTTATCATAAATATTAACTTCCCCACGACACGTTCCTCCAACTGTTCGAAATGATATGTCAATCTTTGAATTTTGAAAAACCATCCTGGAAGCTTGTTGCGTCTACACTACATGATAAAAGAGTTTTATTAAATATTACATAACAAATTGTTATACAACTTTTCTATACATGTTTGTATAACTTGTTACAAAAATATACCTCTTGGACAAGTCCGTAATAAGTTCGTCCAACATTTTGAATCTCAGTATTAATCATGATGTCACACTTGATGGATAAAGCTGCGTCTACACTATGTAGCACAACACGTTATACATATAACGAAGTTACAA